CGTCGATGCATGTATGGATTAGTCAGTAGCGGTACTAATTAAAAGTAATATGTTGTCAGTCCAAACAGGTAATGCGTGGTTCTTATTGCATTATCGACTATCACGAAGCCACGGCATAAACCTGAATTTTCAGTCAGCTGTGCTGCGGCTTAGTTAAAAGGGTCGGCGGAACAGCAATGCACTAAAAGCGCCCTTTTTTACCGGCTGTGATTCAATCATAAAAACCAGTAGCATTAAAATTTTAATTACCATATCATAAAGCATTAAACTGGTTGGGAAAAAAATATGGGCGTTGCTGTCGAATCAACGAATTTTGAATTGATTCTTGATTTGTTCCATGGATTGATTTTGGTCAACTTTATTTTTTCTTTGCCGTGAAATGAGGCATAGCGTTAGTAGTTGGTCTGAAAATCACAGGCTGCCGATTGACGCCTATTAAAGTTTGCTTTACCAAACGCACACGAAAGTCAAGCTTACCTCCTTCCGGGTCTGAGGGATGACGATTGATGTACTCATGCTCAAATAATGCCATTATGCTGGTGATCTTGGCAGGTCAAGTCTTTTCTTTTGAAATTTTCTTCCATTTTCACATCATCCACAGCGTCTTCAGCCGTTCGATGGCTTTAACCATTCCGACGGTCTTAACGTGTCACTGCCAGAATACAGAACCAGTGAAAACTGACGTATATGAATAAATTTCTGGCTCGACGTCTTTCATGAAGCCGAAGGTTTAATTTCCGCGGTATTGATTCTAACGTCATCAATTTTTTGCATGAATTTGAAACCTACATTCACACTCATTCAGAAATCAATTTATGAGCCAAACGGGAATCTATTTTCAACAGGAGACCCGTGAGGCTTACTGACAAGGTTGACTTGAAGAACCTGAAATCTCATTGCATCCGAAGGAGGAGAAACATGAAATTTTATATAGCTATTCATGTCTTGATTTTGCGCCTCCGATTCTGAATCCATTGTTGCAATTGCGGAAACTTTATCGATCCATGACTCAGTGCTCTAAGGAATGGTTTGCTTCTTGCCTGCTCGATGCCCTCAGCGCGAATCGACAAAGCAATTATCGAATACTGATTATGAATATTTTTCATAAACACGATAATACATCATTATTTATATATTCTGAACGATAACTTGCATTCATGTAACACTTTTCATTGTGTTATTGCCGTGGTGCTACTTTAGAAATCAGAGTACAGTATGAACGAACGTTTACGCCAACGAATGAATGACCTAGAAAACGCGTACAACACAGCCATGTACAATATACCTCATTATTACCCTGTGCGAAGCACCATTGATCGATACAGCTTGCGCATCTACTGAAAACAAACTGGATCGCTGATTGGATAGCTACGTGGGGAAAGGTCTGTAAAAGAGGACCCGCTTGCTTGAATGCGCTAATCGACCGTATCTAGTACAGGCGTATTTCATCTTTATGTCAGTCACTTTTGCTTTATTGTGCTTAGTTGTGTTGTCTTTTTGTTTTGTTGCAGAATCTTGGAATCCACCGATTGCTGTGGTGTTGCATAGCATCGTTTCAATCATTCAATAAATGTGTTTTGTTGCAAATTTGGAATGGTTCATTTTCAAATGCTGATACTTCGTTCATGACGTCAACAGCATGAAGCTCTTAGATTCAATCAGAAAGGTCGAGTGAAGAAAAGGGACCAAGTTTCTCGCATGGAAACAGATTAGAGGAAGTTGACCATCGTAAACATCTAGGCTCCATGGTCACGAACGACCACCGCTGCGACATGGAGGGTCATTGAATGAGAGACTTGCTTCAGCACAGGCTGTGCTTGGAAGCTTGAAGAAGGTGTGGTGCTCTCAAACCAGGCGATCTGGTTGGCGATGAAGGTGAGGCTCTCGCCTTTCAGTTCGATCTTACTGTATGGCTCGGAAACACGTGACCGCCGGCCAGCCTGGCTAACAACGTTGTCTACACCATGTCCTCAACGTTGGTGTACTTCTGACAAATAATAGTGACCTGAACAAGCACTGACCAGAACCGAACTACAACAACCGTCGCATCAGTTGCTGTCGTCAGTCCAATGAGGACCAATTTAAGGGTTCGAAAATACCCATTACAAGGACGAAACCGGTTGATCGAAGAATGCCACTATTGGGTAAAAACCACGGACATCGTTGCTCCACTGCTAACATCCAATTTGGAAAGACCTGCCCACAGAACTGCAATAAGACATGAGTTGCATAACGACTCAGCCGGCCGTTCAGAAGATTCATTCATTAAATCAAACATGGCGGTCATGCCGTGGAGGACAGTTGATGCGGCATCTCTCTCCTTCACAAGTACACTGAAGTAGTTTTGCTAACGCTTCTGTCACTCGACCAATCCAGTGAGCTGCAATAATTTTATTCATTTCCTCGGCAAGGTTAATCGACAGGAATATTTCAAATTTTCAGTTCTTTACAATTTAGCTTGCAGTCATTTAAATAAATGATAATCAAATCAGAGAGGTTGAATAAAGTTTAGTGAATACATGCGGCATGTATTCAGCAGTGTGGCTTAAAAATTGTGCCATTAAACCTTTTAGCTGAAATATGAAAATTGAACCTTTGAATTTCCATCTTTCTGACAAATCGAATATCAATGTTTGTTTCAACTTTAGCTCCTGCCGGCGCTGTCGAGCCTCTTCCCTGCTCTCGCTTTACATGCAGCAAACGACGTATTACACCACCAAAATCATATGCGATCTGGAGTAGATGCTAACCATTCAACAAAAATAGTTGTTTCGAAGCTCTTCGGATCAGTCGCTTTCTAAAAACTCTCTTTTGCGGAAGCATTTTCATTTTAGCCCTGATTTCAGCCTTTCATTGACTATATATGTAAAGTTTTCTGATGGGCTCATCTTCTTCAAATATGTACCAAGTACTGGAGGCCATTGTTCACCAGTTAAATGTACAGATGTTTCATGAAATATTGACGACCAGCGCCAATGTTCCAAATTTACAAGGACTGCGTAAACCACGTGACGACGCTAAGCAAGCGTGGGCAAAAGCGAGTTAGTGTCAATTTAACAAGCTCTGACTCATCTCCCCCAGCTTCTGAGGGAATGAGTGAAGACCACAATATCATAATGGTGTTGCAGCAGCGGAGTACGGGTACGGAAGACGCTAGTGATCCAGCTGCTTTTCGGATTACCTGGTTCGGACGTGGTCGCAGGTGCCATCCATTGATCAGTGGTTGGCGAATGACCTCTGCAGCCTTTGCACGGATTCGCTGAACCTTCTGACTGCGTCCTCTGTTCCCA